TTTTTTTTTTCAATTGTCCGCGTAATAATGTTTTTTTTTTTTTTTTTTCTTATTCACAATACAACAATGACGCTGATACTCGATCTCTACTTTTCGTGATAACCGCATCTACTCCTTGGTGTGACGATAGCGATCAGATAAAAATGCTCGCTTGTCTCCGAGCATCAACACGTATAAATTTAATCGGTAACCTTCGCGTGAAATCGTCAAACTTATCACGGGTGATGATCTGTTGTCGAGTTTTTGTATATCTGGCAATCAGTTCGCTCCCAGTAAAGCTTCGCAATCAAAAGATGTTGTAAAACCGTTTCTCTCTATCATTTTTTTTTTTTTTTCCTCTTCTTCCTCTCTTCTTTCGTATCCGTAACCGTGTTCAGATATACACTATAATTGTGTATACATATACGAATCTCATGATCTTAAGGGAGAGATTGGAATTCGACGGTAAGTACGTTTTTAATTACTTCTTTTTTTTTCATGTACATTTTTTTTTTTTTCATTAATACACTTGTTATTATATTTGTTTATTATATGTACGAAAGATTTGATGATCTTAAGAGAGAGATTGGAATTTAGGGTAAGATTTAGTTGTTTTAGTTATTTTTATGATATTTTTTTTTTTTTTTTTTTTTTTTTTCATTAATACACTTGTTATTATATTTGTTTATTATATGTGCGGAAGATTTGGTGGTCTTAAGGGAGAGATTGAAATTCGATGATAATTCTTTTTTTAATGGCTTTTTTTTTTTTCGTATACATTTTTTTTTTTTTTTTTTTTTTTGTTAATATATGAATTGTACATATATGAATCTAGTGATTTTAAGGGAGAGATTGGAATTCGATGATAAGTACTTTTTTAATTGCTTCTTTTTTTTTCGTATACATTTTTTTTTTTTCATTAATACATTTGTTATTATATTTGTTATTATATGTACGAAAGATTTGATGATCTTAAGAAAGAGATTGGAATTTAGGATAAGAACGTTTTAACTGTTTTAATTGTTTTTATGATATTTCACCAATTTTTTTTTTTCTTTAATATATGAATTATACGAATTTATTTTGTATATATACGAATCTAGTGATTTTAAGGGAGAGATTTGAATTTATAATAAGAATATTTTAATTCTATGATATTTCGTTAATTTTTGTTTTCTTTTTATTTTGTTAATATACGAATCTAATGATTTTAAGGGAGAGATTGGAATTCACGATAAAAATATTTTAGTTGTTTTTAATTGCTTTTTTTTGTGTACTTGTTATTTCGAATTTATGATATTCCGCCATTTTTTTTTTATTTCGTTAATATACGAATCTGATTTTTAAGGGAGAGGTTAGAATTCACGATAAGAATATTTTTAATTGCTTTTAATTGATGCTTTTTATGATATTTTGCCATTTTTCTTTTTTATTTCGTTAATTTCAGTTAATCATATACAATTATTTTTATTATTTTAGTAAATAAAATATTAAACTGTTTTATTTTTTTGTATCTTTGATTTTGATTATCTTTGTTTTTATTTGTATTTATTCGTTAATAAATGTGCAATTAAAGATTCTTTATATAATATTTTATATATATATATATATATTTATCATTTGTGCAATGTTTAAAAAAATATTTTTATCACATTTGCTTTCAAAATTTTTTTATAATAACAATATAAAACGCAGTAAATTCAAATAACAAGTTTAATGTTCTATCATCCCATTGATTAAAACATATTTCCAAAATTCTATTCAAAAAATGAACAATATTTTTAAATCCAATTCTCCTCGAAAAACTTTTCCACCAATTGATATAAATAAAATTAATTTCTGTTATTTTTATATACGATCACCAATCATCAGTTTTATTCATTTCTAGAATTTTTAAATAAAATCCATTGTTCAACATCGATTCGCGTTAAAACGAAAAAATTCTATTCGAAAAGTGAACAATATTTTTAAATTCGATTCCTCTCGAAAAAATTTCCCACGCAATTTTCTTTCATGATATTTCATGAAAAATTTCACATTTATTATTTATATCTACAGCGAAATCAAAGATACAATAAATAAAATTAATTCTTATTTTTACACACTTAGTTTTCATTCTCGTTCAAATTCGTTTCCGGTTTTTAAATAAATCTATGTGCGAATAATTGAAAATTTGTAGAACGAAGAGAGGAAAAAGAAAAAAAAAAAAAAGTAACTAATTTCGCTCTGATCATTTTTCCGTATCATTAACCCGGTTTCTATAAACTCGTTTTGTATCAGTCGGACATAAACGGTGATATCGTAAATCGTGAAACCTTATCATCGACAAATTTCAGGTTTCATGGATGGTGTTCACGTGATAAAACACGCGACCACGTACCCAACATGCATCGAAACATTTCGCGGCAATAACGGGTATATTAACATTACTTAATATATATATACATATATATACATATATATGTATATATATATGTATATATATATATATATACACTCGTTAAGATCGAGACGGGAGATACATCATTTTAATTATCTTTATCGAGAATTTACGTCAAATGAGAAATTCATCGCTTCACTTCGGCCCACGTGATAATACGTATTACATATTATACTATACTGCACACACTGTACAGTTTTATCTATCGTATACATGCACACGTATATATATATATATATATATATATTATTTCTTTTTCTCCATCCAAATTATGTGTACTTATTCTTAGCACAACCAAATAATTCCTTTTTCAATTTAAGAGTATTATACTCAGATTTATACCAGATTTATACCACGAATTTAACGATCGTATCGTGAGCCACTACTAGTCGAATAATTGAGATATGAACAGTTGAATCCGCGAATAACATTAAGTATACAATAAGCTATCAACAAGACTGAGACACTTAAATTCGGACGTAAGCGCTTAGAGTTTCACTTTTTCATATTTCGA